CCTCTCTCCATCATCTTCGAGAGGTCCTGGAGAGCAGGGGAGGTACCCGAGGACTGGAAGAGAGCCAACATCACTCCAGTCTTCAAAAGGGGCAAGAGGGAGGAGCCGGGCAATTACAGGCSAGTCAGCCTAACCTCTGTCCCTGGAAAGGTAATGGAGCAGTTCATCCTAGAGAGAATCTCCAGGCATATGAAGGAGAAGAAGCTGCTGAGGAGCAGTCAGCATGGATTCACCAAGAGGAAGTCACRTCTGACGAACCTCATAGCCTTCTATGATGGGATGACAGGCTGGCTGGACGAGAGGAGAGCCGTGGATGTTGTCTACCTTGACTTCTGCAAGGCTTTTGACACCATCTCCCATAATATCCTCATACGAAAGCTCTGGGAGAGTGGACTACATGAGTGCACGGTCCGGTGGATCGAGGGCTGGCTGGATAGCAGAGCTCAGAGGGTGGTGATAAATGGGGCCGAGTCCAGTTGGAGGCCTGTGGCCAGTGGTGTCCCCCAGGGGTCAGTACTGGGCCCGATGTTCAATTTGTTCATTAATGACCTGGACGAGGGCACGGAGTAAACCCTGAGCATGTTTTTGGATGACACCAAGCTGGGTGGAGTGGCCGACACTCCGGAGGGTTGTGCTGCCATCCAGAGGGATCTGGACAGGCTGGAGAGTTGGGCAGAGTGAAACCTCATGAGGTTCAACAAGGACAAGTGTAGGGTCCTGCACCTGGGGAGGAATAACCCCAGGCACCAGGACAGATTAGGGGTTGACCTGCTGGAAAGCAGCTCCACAGAGAGGGACCTGGGAGTCCTGGTTGACACCAGGTTTACCATGAGTCAGCAGTGTGCCCTCGTGGCCAAGAAGGCCAATGGCATCCTGGCCTGTATCAGGAGGAGTGTTGCCAGCAGGTCAAGGGAGGTGATTCTGCCCCWCTGCTCAGCTCTGGTGAGGCCRCACCTGGAGTACTGTGTGCAGTTCTGGGCTCCCCAGTATAAGAGGGACGTGGAGCTTCTCGAGAGGGTCCAGAGAAGGGCAACCAGGATGATTAAGGGAATGGAACATCTCTCGTATGAAGAGAGGCTGAGTGAGCTGGGCCTGTTTTCTCTGGAGAAGAGAAGG